AGGGTCCCTTTTTGGGGACCATAAACCACATAACAAAGAAGCTGTTAGAAACTAAGGAATAAATAAGTCTGTGCTAATCAACCAGAATACTGATGAAGCCCATGACTGCAGCCTCAGCAGTACTATTAGGAACTGGATGTGGCAGCTATAATCTCTCTGAGAAAGTTGAAATAGCAATGGAGGTTGAAGAAGTGGTTTTTGGAGGTGGGTTAGAGTCATTGTTGAGTTGGAATGACCCTAGAAATTTCATATTTAGCCTCCTAGCCATCTCCTAGAATGGGTGTTCAGTAGCAGTTGCTTTAGTAATATAATTGGAGATAGCAAGGAACCCTAATCTCTTTATTCCCTTCTTCCTTCCATGAATCACAGGTAATCTAAGCCTCTAGTCTATTACTTTAATGCCAGCCTTGACCACACTTAAACCATTTAAGTTGGTATTTGAATATTATACTCTTAAAGGTCACAGTTCAACAGTTCTCTCTAGGCACATGATGCTCTATGCCCAGCCTTAGTCTCTTTGTTCCTGGAGGCTTTTCAGACACAACATATCTTAAAACAGATGAAACAGATATGTTTCATTCATCTTTTCCAAAACCGCTCAACCTATTCAGAACTTATTTATTACTGTCAAGGTTACCACTATTTTTCCTGTCACCCACATTTGCAACATTGATGTAGTCCTTGACTCTTCAGTCTCCCTAAATATCCAGTCATTTGCTAAATCTTGTCATTTCCTTCTCCACACATCTCTTGTTTATGTCTTCTCTCCACTTACATTACCACTACCCTTGTTCGGCCCCTCATCTCTTGCTTGGACTACTGCAGTTAGTTTCCATGGATCATCTTTCTCCATTCTTATTTATCCTCCCATATAGCTACCAAACTGATTTTCCTTAAATGCATGTCTGACCATGTCACCTCCCTACTCAGTAACCTCCAGAGGTTCCCTGTAGTCTCCAGGATGAAATAAGACATTCCCTGTTTGGCATTTAAAACTCTTTGCAACCTTGCCTCTACCTATCTTTCCTGTCGTCTTACACATTACTCTCCATGTACTTTATTGGTCAGCCACATTAGCCTGCTTGCTATTTATCACATACTCTACTCCATCCTTTGTCTTGGTACCCTTGCCATGACTGTCCCTCATGATTAGAATATTCTCCCTCTTTACCTTCACCAGGAATTCACTTGGAAACCCTGTGGTTTCCTTCAGGACTCAATTTAAAGGCCATATCTGTAGGAAGGCTTTAGGAAAACTCTAGGTCTCACTAGCTTCTACTGGTGTCATCCCCTCTTAAAGTTAATTTGTATCTACTTTGTATGTAATATCCTGAATAAACAAATTTATATTTATGTCTCCCCAGTTAAGATGTATAGTCTTTGAGACCAGGGAGTGTTTTTCTTTGTATCCCAACTAAATTAAATCCCATTAAATTAAACAGCCATCTTTAGTTTCTCAATGTCTTAACATTTTCTTAGTCTTACAGTCAGGAATTCTAGACTAATACCTTGTTTGACAGGTGAAGAAATGGAGGCCCAAGGCATAGTAGCCCTCTGAACCCACATAGCTTGTTAAGTGCTGAGACCAGAGTCTAAGGCTCCAGGCTACTAGTCCAATGCCTTCTCCACTACATCATGCTGCCTATACTAGTACTACTAATGTACATGCTGGAAGGTGGATGGTTTTTTTAATGTTCTTGCCATGCCTGATTTATAACATCTTCATTTTATACTTTGAGATGGGGATAGTTTTGGTTTAGTATTTAAATTTAAGGGGGCACATTTATAAACCCTTGGAAAACACTACTGCCTTGGATCTTCACCATCAGCTTTAAATTTTAAATACATTGCATTATGATTTTGTTATTTACTGTGTTAAATGTCTTCAGTTTTATTTTTCAAGGTTATGCTTTTAAAATTCACATCCCATTAGTTCACTTGTAATTTGTATTCCTTTTTTTCCATTTTGTATTGCCCTAACAGTAACAGCTGTGGTTGTAACAGTATGCTTCAATAATGGGATGTCCCCATCTGTAACTACCCTCTTTATTCACTTTTTAGAAATTGTTTTAAAATTTGGAAATAAGTTCTTGTAGATGAGGCATTTTAGATTAAACTGTATATTCCATGCAGGTTTGTCAGGATCCTTTCATTTTGGGATTTTGTGTGTAAAAATCATTTCCCCAAAAGTCTCTTTTTCCTCTGAGTGCTTTACAAAACCCAGAACCTATGGTGCCTTCTTGGCATTCTAATTTCAGACTTTACGTAAATGAAAATTGCTTGTGGTCCCTGTCCCACCACATGAAGGTTTCCTAATTGCATGTATTCTGTATTGCCCTGAAGGAGGGAAGGTTTAGAGCTTTAGAAAAGTTCTGGCTGTTGAATCATCCTCACCCTTTCTTTGACTATCTGGTATCTTTCTCCTGTTGTATGTAGTGTCTAACAAAGTATAGCAAGTCATTGGGTTCGGGTAACAATTGTTTTTTCTCTCCACTACCTATATATGAGATAGCTGCCAAACAATTCATTGTCCAAAAGTGGCACAGGTTATCTTGGGAGGTAATAGGTTCTTCATCACTGAAAGTTCTTCCAGCAGAGGCTGGATGGCCATTTGTCATGTATGCTAGAGAGGGGATTTCTGTGGGGTAAAGATTAGATAAGATAATATTTGAAACCCCTTTTAACCATACTCATTCCCAAATGTTAACTCACCAGAAACACAAATTCTCCAGTTTTACCTCTATGGACTCTAAAATTCTGACCCAAATTTAGAGACCTAGATGGAATTTTAAACAGAGTGTACCTTTCTGAAACAAAAATGACTTTTTAACAGTTTTATTTGAAGTTTTGAGTTCCAAATTCTATCCCTTCCTTCCCCTCCTCTCTCCCTGAGATGGTAGGCAATCAGATATAGGTTATACATGTGCAATTATGTAAAACATTTCCATATTAGTAATTTTGTACAAGAAGATTCAGATGGAAGAAAGTGAAAAATAACATGCTTCAGTCTGTATTCAAACAATATCAGTTCTTTCTCAGGAGGCGGATAGTATGCTTCATTTTTAGTGCTTTGGGATTGTCTTGGATCGTTGTATTGCTGAGAATAGTTAAATTATTCACAGTTCTTCACCAAACAAATATTGCTCTTACAGTGTAGGATGTTCTGGTTCTGTTTACTTCACTATGCATCAGCTCATGTAAGTCTTTCCAGATTTTTCTGAAATGATCTTGCTTGTCATTTCTTATAGCACAATAATATTACATTACAATCATATACCACAGCTTGTTTAGCCATTCCCCAGTTGATGGGCATCCCTTTGATTTCCAATTCTTAGCCACCACAAAAAGAGCTGCTATCAATATTTTTGTACAAATAGGTCCTTTCCCCTTTTTTTGGATGTTTTTGGGATATAGACCCAGCAGTGGTATTGCTGGATCAAAGGATATGCACAGTTTTATAGCCTTTGGGGCATAGTTCCAAATTGTTCTCCAGAATGATTGGATCAGTTCACCACTCCACCTGCAGTGCATTAGTGTCCTAGTTTTTCTGCATCCTTTCCAACATCCAACGTTTTCCTTTTTTGTTATATTCACCAATCTGATAGATGTGCATTCTAGGCATAGGGAATGGGCTGTGCAAAGACATAGAGATGAGAGATGGAATATCCTATGTGAGGAAACAAGGCCTGTTTGGCTGAAATATAGAATGCATGCAAAATAGTTGATAGGCTTGGCTAATAGAATGGACCCAGCCAGATTGTGAAGGATTTGAAATTAGGTATTTCTGACTCCAAACCCAAGACACTTAGAATGAAGTGCACAGACCAGTAACTTGAAGCCTCACTTGAGGACAGATTGTACTCAAGGTCATAAAGGAAGATAGAAGTGGAATAATAACCAAACTCTATATTCATACCTATTCTTTAATCACTCACAGTATTTGTTTTCTGTTATTTTTTAATATTTGCCATAAATGCTCTAACTGGTTTCATGTATTGTTTTTGCCTTGCTGACCTCATTATTATTCCTCATTAATGAACCTTAACTCTACAACTAAAATATCAGGGTATTTTAGGAGAGATTCCAGTAGGAAGCAGCTTTTAATTCTGAAAGTTTTCTTGAGATTGTCATATATATTCATATGTATCTTATGCATGTGGGTGCTGGGTGTATGTATCTTCTGTCTATATGTATTGAGAAAAGAGACTTTGTGATCAACATGAAATTACCATAATTCCATATCTTCTCAAAGTGCAAGGGTAGTTTAATTTTTAAAAGAACGCAAAAACACAATTTTAATATGAACTCATAACCAAAAATATCCAATAACATTGTACTTTAACAGATTCTAATTTCTATTCTAATCTCTTAACAGTTCATCTCTCTCACCCCAACCCCGAGTCCTTGGCTTAAAAAATTTACTTATAGTAGGTAGACAGCATATTGTAGAGGATAAAGAAAGAGATAGCCTCAAAATCTAAAAGACTTGGCCAAGTCACTTAACCTCTCAGTTCCCCCAAGCAACTCTGTACAGAATTCCTTATATATAATTGTATTTTAATGGTGTTATGTTATACCATTCTATTGTTATATAGTACTGTTTATTCAGCCAGTACCAATTGTTTAACATTTAGGATAATTTAATTTATATGTAATTTACATGAAATTACTTTTATTTATTTTTATAAATTGCTTTTGGTTATAAGTTGCACTTTTAAGCAGAGATTAATATTTTTGAATTTAGAGAGTATATTTGTGGAGAATCAAACTCATCTCAGATTCCTAGTTCAAATTTATAAATATGCCTGCTGAAAATATAGAAGAGATTCTCTACTTTTTATTCACATGAACCACCAAGAAAACATTAGTTCATTAGAGTTATTTAGGAGAATTAGAAATTTCCTCCATGGGTATTTTCTCCATGTTTGAATTCTCTGATCAGTTTTTTGTATTACATGGCTAATATATTTATCACCTCTCCTTTTTTTTTTCCATTACAGATGTACCTTTCGATTTCCTAGTACGGTTATAAAGATCCAGTTCACGTCTCTGTACCATAAAGAAGAAGCTCCACCATCTCCCCTTCGACCTCTTTATCCTCAAATTTCCCCTCTGAAGATCCACATTCCGGAGCCGGATCTCCGGAGCCTAGTCAGTCCCATTCCTTCTCCTACTGGCACTATCAG